CTTAGGCTTAACAACCTAATTACTAGACTCAACAAATTGCATGCTGCATAATGTGTGTACATGAACCATTAACATGTTGAATAACATGTATATGATATATTAGCTTGTTGGACCGCATGTATGCATGATGCCCTTGTATGTTGCATTATGTGCTTGCATAGTATTTGATGTATTTACATAACATACACATATTTTTTTTCAGCATGTATATATAATGCACTTGCCTACCATTTAGTATGTGTGTATGGTATGCCTGCATTATGTTTGTATATTGTATGTGTGCATTTTGGATATTTGTATGTGCATTTGTATGTCGCTTAGCATATGTGCATGGTATACTTGCAATTGTATAATGCACTCGCACGTTTTGCTCAATGCATTTGTGTGACACGAACACACGAATCTTGATGCACTTGCATAGTGGCATGATTATTGGCATTTGTACAAAGTGCCTTGCGTGATTAACGGTATGTGTGCATCTTACTTAGTGCACTCATATGATTAGCAATATATATACATGGCACTTGACATATGGGTCTAATGTGTTTGTATGTATTTGTTACATGTACATTATACAATAGGGGGCTCGTAGGCGACACCCATCGGTGATTTGCATATCACGTGCATTTTAATGAAGGGGTTGTATTACCCATGACACGTAATAATGTACTATTTTGTTTCTTTTCAAAGGTAGATGTTTATGAGGTGTACGACACACTCATGGGGCGTACAAGTTTCCTGACTTTAACAGTTTGTGTGCACAATACTGATAGGAAACACTTGAAGATCTCAAGAATTTCCTAGCAATCTTTGAAAAACAACAAGAATTCTCCACAAAAATCTACACAAAACTAGGAAAATAGTAGATAATTTGTATTATTTGATGAAATGGAAAAGGAAAATACCAAGATACATTGATCCTCTATTCGAGAGGATCTATCTCTCTCAAATCTCTAGATGCTGCTAGAGCCCAAAAACCTAAGAGATCTCAAATTTCAACCAAAATTCAAGATGTCATAACCATTGGAAAACAAGCTATTTAATGCATACAATCCAAAGGGAAATCTATAAATAGTCCCTACATTCAAATTTCCCTCTTAACTTCCTAAAAAATTCTTCATAGACAGCTCTTTTTGGACTGGTCGTTTTGAGTGGCACGTACAGAAGGTGGAGAAATCCCACCTATGTTACGCGTGAGCCAGTCCTATGGGACGGGCTGGATCGGTCTAACAATTACCTAGGGGACTTATGCACCCGTGATTCCTCCCTTGTCATTTTGTGCTTGAATCTTAGTTTAGTAGGTCCCACAAAGGATCAATTTCCCGGGTTATAAATAGGGAACCCAACCCTACTTACAATGAGGGGATTTTTCAAATTCCAAAACCTTCTTCTTTTCCGCTCAAAATTTTCTTCGCCTCGCTTCCAAATGTCTTTCTTATCTTCAAATTAAATGTTTTCACTAATTAGAGAAACAATTTATAAATGTTTGAAAAACACACCTTTTTCCTCTTTCCCTCGTTGTTCCTTTCGTTCATTGAAACTTTTTCCAAATTTATCACTCCTTTAATGGTAGAAATGAAAAGAAGTAGCTAATTCTTATCTCCAAACACATTGGAATTCTAAAAATGGCGGATCGAAGTCTCAAAAACCTCCTTCGCAAGCCTTCGGTTCCGCCCAGTCGTCCGCCTATGTCATTTCACAAATGGGGAGCGGTTATACGGGTAGGGTTTTATTATTAAGGTTCGAATGGTTCACTTGAACCAGCCAGATTGAACCGGTTTCCCACATGAATGAATTGGTTGGTTAAATATTTTGCCACTATAGGATGCTGGAAGAAAAGGGTCATATTTGATTTAGCTAGGGATGATGTGTTTTATTTCCATTATGAAAGGGGAGTAATATCATCTTTAATTACTTCTAGTCAGTTGCATAAAAGTTTAAGAGCAGGTGACTTGATTTTCTTAGCAAAGTTAGAAGCAATTAAAGAAAGGGATTATAATATAAATTCCATTCCTATAGTGAATGAATTTGTAGATGTTTTCTCAAAGGAGTGGTTGATTTACCTCCAGAAAGAGAGGTTGAATTTTCAATAAATCTTCAACCTGGAACAAATCTAATAGTGAAAACACCTTACAGAATGACAACAGAGGAATTGCAAGAATTGAAAAGTCAGTTGGCGGAATCGATTGAAAAAGGTTTTATCAGACTCAGTTCATCTCCTTGGAGTGTATTTGTATTTTTTGTCAAGAAGAAGGATAGTTTAATGCGACTCTATATTGATTACAAAGAATTAAATAATGTGACAATTAAAAACAAGTACCCTGTCACAAGAATTGATGATCTATTTGATTAATTAGCAGGTGCTTCCATATTTTTCAGAATTGATTTGAGAACAGGTTATCACCAGGTTAGGGTGAAAGAATTTGATGTTGAGAAGACCGCTTTTGGTATCAGATATGGGCATTATGAATTTTTGGTTATGCCATTCGGTCTAACTAATGCCCCTACAGTGTTCATGGATATGATGAATAGAATTTTCAGATATTTCCTTAATCAATTTGTAATTGTTTTCATTGATGACATTTTGATCTATTCCAAGAATGATGAATAACATGCAAATCATTTGAGAATTATTCTGGAATTATTGAGGCAACATTCATTGTTTGCTAAATATTCTAAATGTGAATTCTGGTTGAAGAAAATTTTCTTCTTGGGACACATTATAAGTGGAGAAGATAATTCAATGGATCCAGAAAAGATAAAGGCAGTGGTAGACTGGCCAAGACCAACGAATGTGATAGAAGTTAGAAGTTTCTTAGTAATGGCAGGATATTATAGAAGATTTGTCAAATGGAGAATAATTTTATAACCAGTACATCATATTTATTTTATTTTTGGTTGCATTTAAGAGCTTTGTGAAGAAATTGAATCAAAATGTATGATGCACATTTTAAGATCTTTTGCATGTTTGAATGGAGGTCCATGGCTTATTAAAATTAATTTGAAGACTTAGCACTTCAATGATTTAACTAGATGGAAATGTCAAATAACAAGTTGTTTAATAATAACTGATTGTTAAATAAAAGAATTAAACTTTTCCAGCTCTTTCAACATATGTCACACCAAACTACACTATATATATATATCATGGTTTAAAATTGCGCAATATGGATTGTAAGGGATCATAATATATAAGAAAATCATAGCATTGTAGCTTTATCAACATAGCTCAATTTCCAAATATGCTTGAGGTATCATCTACTGGGAATCAATTGCGAAATGAAGGTAATAATGCTCTATTTCTACCTATATTTGAAGCAACCTACACTAATGAAGGTTATTCAATAGTTTTAAAGATCAGTTTAGATGATAGTGTTTATGCTAGTGATTATAAACATGCCTCTTATATCAAGAGGATTGATCAAGATAACCACATCTTCCCAAGGAACTTCTCAAAAAAGACATAAGCATTAGTATTTCTATTACCAACCTATAATACTGTTGTTTGTTGGTGATGTATATATTAGTTCTTGCAATCATATACTAATGGAAACAATATCGTTTATAGGGTTCGTATGTATGTTAAATAAATGTCCTCAAAACATGTTGATCCCCCAGTGGAACATTGATGCGAGCGAAACTAGAGTAAAGAGACAAATTGGAGAACACTAGGACAAGACTTAAACCAAACTCGATTCATATGTAGCTTGCAAACATCCAAACAAACTTAGGAGAAACAAAAGCCAAATCGAACAAAACAAAATAAAAACATAAAAATGCTATCCTCAGTAAAACCGTCTAACGGTCTCCTCACATGCAATGAAAGTAGGAAATTTAAGAAAATTGTGCTTAGGCTTGCAAACCAAGGGTCCACCACTGCAAAAGAGTCCAACGTCCTTTCCAAACTCCTTCCGCAAATGTCTCCAAATTTCAGCCAACATACACTTCCAAAGCTCAAGAAGAAGGATACAAGTGGAGTAGAACTTGCGTAGAGAAGAAGGGGTTAGAAGCCAAGACGAAATAGAGAGGAGGAAAGGGGGAATGGAAGAAGCTCTCAAGCTTTTCCAAGAAGAAACCCTCAGGTTTTTGTAGAGATTTTTTCTCAGATTTTCAACAACTTTTTCATGCCAAAACATCTCCATTTTATAGGCAAAAGAAGGTAGACAAATAACCATAACACCTCCAACCAAATCCAATAAGAATTGGGGCAATGAAAGGCCAAAAGTCACCAAGAAGAAGGCCAAAAGATAGCCAAAATCCGCAGCAGAAAAACTGCACAGAAAATAGAGAGGAAGCCACCGAAATCCCCCCCAAATAGCCACGGGAAACCAGCTAGTAATGGACCCGAAAAACCAGCACAGGAGGCAAGGCATTAGGGCACGAGAAACCAGCCAGCAGGGGATCCGAAGAGCCAGCACAGGAGACAAAGGGGCAGATCACAGGAAACCAACCAACAAGGGGAAACCGAGAAGACAAAGAAAGAAGAAAAGGCACAAGTCCACTCCAATGAGCTCCTCAATAATGAGCTTTGAAACAAAAGCATATCTTTTTTATTTTAATGAGCTAGGAAGTGCATTTAATCTCCAATCATTGAGCTAAACTTCAGCTCAACATTTATGAGCTAGCACCAAGTAGAATTCCAGCATTTTGAGCTCAACACCAAGCAACCAAGGCCCACCTGAGAGCAGCCAGCACAGCAAACCAAAATCAACAAGCAGAACAAGGACGAAATGGACTCAAAAGCAAGCAAATCCAAGGCTTGCCATGCCTAGCACATTCCTACCATGATCATTGGAAGCACAACCATCATAAGATAGCTTAAAAACATAAAACACAACTAATATTGTTCCCCAAATACAATAAAACAAAAATAACTAAAAATATTGAATGCATCAAACATATACAACTCTAATTACCAAAGCCAATAATAACATGAACTATAGCACCCCTATTTTGCAGTCTATTAAGGAGTGAATACAAGTTGCTTATGAGTTCTGTATAATAAATAGCTGTTGATATTCCAAACATCTTTTATGACGATTTGATATTCCATTTGGTAGTTTTCCAAAGGACATTATTATGCTGAAAAAGTCAAATTGTCTATACAAGAGAAATATGATTTTGAATAGTTTTGAAGTTTAATTGTGAATCTATCCTTTGAAGTAACTATTTTTACGGATGCAATATTTACATTCAATTGGAATTTACAGTTTCCAAAGATAATAAAGCACCCATATAATAGTCACGGTTTATATGCTAAAAGTACATCTGCATTGGCTGACGAGCATGATGTATGCACATATGTGATATCTGAGGATGCTGCACAGGTCAAATATTCCAAGTTTCATCTTTCTCCTTGAAAGGCCTAGAGTCGACCTAACATGAATCATATGATGCCTCCTAAATTGCTACAAAATACAAATATTTTTCAAATGACAATTATGTTACTCCGATGATGGCCATATTGACAGGAAATCTCACAAAATGAGGGCGAAATCTCTGGGTAGTGTCTTATCTAAAACCCAATCTGCCTTGTGAAAATTTAACCAGAACCTAAGCTCGTTAAAACTCTCCGCCATCCCATTAAAAAAAGAACTGGCACGGAGAGGCCGTGGCGTGGAATTTTCGGAGCCCTCATGGGTAACACGAGTTGATTAGTATGCACTTGTTCTTGAACCTTGCACTTAGATTTAACATTATAATGGTGCATAGGGTGTTTGCCGTGGGCCCAATTTCGGTTCTTTGGCTTGGTATTTTCTTAACAATACATTTCATTTAGTATCAACTCCTACAAAAATAAGATAAAAGGGATAACAAGGTAGCGCATCAAGTTAACTTCATATTAAGCCTGCAGGAGTTTTGGCATTTATTATCAAAACCGACTAAAAGTTGTTTCTCAAAGTATTTAATTGCAAATTTGTCTGGGTTGACCATGATTTATCTGATCCTTATGTTACCCCTTCTAGAAGTTTACACTCTTTGTGCTAGCTAATAATATTAGACTACAAAATGGTTGTGTGGACCCATGTTTTATTTTATTTTATTTAAACTTTCATGCCAACTAATTTATACTGATTCAGATTAAAATATGGCTCAATGATTTTATTTATGTAGTCTACTTGTTTAAATTTTGAAGACTCATCATAGTGATCTTCAAATCTTAAAATTTGATGGCCTGACATAGTGATTTTCAAATTTAAGATAATGGGCATGCCCAAATCAATCACCTTCTTCAGATACTCTCATGTATCATGCAATGGATTGAACCTCCAGAAGTGGTTATAAAAGAAATAAGGTTGGGTCGAAGTGAAAGGCAAGTCCTTAGTTATGCTTTATTCTTCACCTGCCCTCCCACTATCTTACTTCTTTGTTTTCTACTTCATACATTTGATTGACTTTTGATTCTCATAATCATTCTCTCACTTTATACAGTGAATTTATTGATGGTTGCCATGCATTGCTGTCAATTGCCACTCTGACTACTCCTTTGCTCTTTAACAACCTTTTGCTATCTCTGAGGTTAGCAGTGAATCTTGTGTTTTTTCTAGTTTAATTCAATAGCGACCTCTGTTATTTTGTAATCTTACTTGATCTCAATTTTTGTTGAGTTGGTTGGCTTTTAATGATTGCGTAACAAACTCTTTTTTGATTTCCAGACCTTTTGGAACCATTCACTTTTTATCTATCTTGACAAGTGATGTTGTAAAAACGGATTTAGTTAATCACGATGAAGAGGAAACATGGACGGCAGAAGCTCTGGATATTCTACTGGAGACATGGAATGTTATTTTTGGGGTATCTCAGATCTAATTTCCCATTTCATAGTATGAAATACAAATTGCTGACTCTTACATGACAAAACTCTATTATTTATACATTTGTGATTATATGTTTACGTAATTGTGTTGTTATATCCTTTCCCTTGAGATTAGTCAACACCCCATGCTAATGCACTGGAAAATTTTATGGAACAACTGAGGTTCATGTCGTCTTTAAATATATGCTAATTGTGCTATTAAGCAGAATTCCTACAAAAGGTTTACAAAACGTATCCTTGTTATTAATCAAGTGCAAGAGAGAATGGGTAGGACTTAATGCAACAATGTGAATTTATGATAAGAGCAGTTTGGGTGAATATATTATATTCAACAAAATGAAATACATAAAAATTTGATTTATGAGATCATATGAAACTTTAAAACTATTCTAGCGCCCTTTCAGTTTATCCAATTAAGTTAATAAAACACAAATATCACTATAATTTAGTGCACATCATATTTTATCAAGGATTTCGTTTGAAACAGAAAAGTGTTTATCATGTTTCTTTTCTTTTAAGGCTTATTACTTCTTAATTTCACCCTTTATAAAACTTTATAAATAGAGCCATATTTTGGCTGATTAAAATATGGAGTATTCCATTTCTTTCTCTGTATTACTATTTTTCTTTTTTTCCTTACATTTTATTGAGCTAGGATTTGTCTAAACGATGACTGAAAACTACAAGAGGGCCCGAGACAAGGAGAAATGATTGGGTCTGTCTTCACCTTAAAAACTAGTGCTATCATTCTGAGAATCTCCATGGAGCATTCAATATCCTAGAAACTATATGGGAAGAGCTTCTTTTGATTGTTTCGCTTAATTTAGATGGTGCTCCGGGGAAGAGGATAGATTAGATATTTAAATGGTACTATCTGCCAAACTGAAATGGTCGACCTTTCTTTTATCAAGGGATACCAACGATGAAGTAATAATGTGTTTTCTTATCATTTACTTGAAAGAACACATTGGGTTATTGTACTTGGTCTGCAACATTACATAAACAATCTATGATTTAGTTGATATGGCTTACTCAAATCTGAAAATTTTTGTTCAAGTGTGTGAATTGCGAGATTAAGCTTGTGACCTTAAGCAAGGGAGCAAGAGTGTCATAGAACACTTCTCCACTCACAATAATTCAGCAAGTACTAGATATTATCGAGCCAAATGATTGGTACAGAGAGTGTTCTGGTAAATGCTTCAAGACAAGAATCTATGATTTCTTTATAGGTCTTAATAAGGGTCTTGCTACGATGCATGGAAGAGTCGAATTCAAGGACCTTAGGCATCTTAGATATTTTCTTGAAATGGAAATAATCTCTAAGAGAAAATTTAATCACATTTTCTTGAAGAAAGCATGTTCTAGATCTCCTAAAAAGAAGCATGTTTAATTAGAAGCAAACATGTTGACACTAATTGTTTTTAACATTAAATTTGGTGATGTTCACAACAATTCTTCAATTGATAAGTGAAGATTGTTAAGTTTGAACACTCATCTATTTGGCTCATCCTTATCTCAAGTATTCCCTCAGAATAGAAATCTCTGGGAACAAATTTGACCTCATTGTATGTTAAAGAAACTATATTCTAAATCTCTTAAAAAAGAAACCTTCTTAATTAGAAGCAAATTAGTAGACACTCAAATTGATGCTAAGATTAATTTGAGTGATGTAGTTCTCTAGTTGGTAAAGAAAGATATCAAAGGTTGGTGGGAAAATTCAACTATTTGGCTCATACCAGGCTTGGCATAGCCTTTGCTGTAAGTTTGGTTAGTCAGTTCATGTGTGCCCGATTTTCAAAGTGATCTATGTTAGATGTATGAAATAATTTAATTGCATGTATCTAAGAACATTCAACATTGTACATATTTTCGTTATTATATATATATGATTCTATGTTAAATAGGATACACAAAAACGTTGTCCTCTAACTTGTGTTAGAGCTTGAGTAATCATAACACTAGTCACACCTCCTTGTCATAACTTGACCTCACTGATCCCGACCACAACTTTGTTTGTGCAAACATACCCCATCATGTAAGCTCGTATGCTGCATCCCACTGTCTAGAGACGGTCTCCTGAATAGATTGCTCTTATTAATCAATATTCTTGGGATTTGGCTATTCCCTATTTGGGGGTAAACCATTTCATGTCATTACGATTAAGTTCTATTGATGTATAACAGGGTAGGAGAATTTAATCTTAGGAGAAATTCAGCCAGCAGTATGTTCAAATCCCAATTCTCCCCAAAGAGAATCAATGAAATCTGGAATTCACTTGATGATGCTTTCAAAATTCTGAGAATAACTCTCAGGAAAGCTGAAATAGTTCAGGTTTTCTTCTCAAAATCTGAGAAGAAAATGAGCTCTCAAGGTAGGGAGGATGGGTTGGAAGGGATAATAGGAGTTTAGCCGTGAATAGGAGTAGAAGGCTGAGTGTGATTTCCTTCACAAGCTCTGGCCTAGAGAGGTCTTCTCAAGCAGGTAGGCAAGGGGGGAGGGGTGGTAACGGGAGACAGCTCACGGGATTGATAAACGGTGGAGATTTTCCAATTAATTCCTGTAGGAATTAATGAAATTCGAAACTTCTGGGGAAGTGGTGAGCTGAGAGGTAAATTAAGAAATGAAATTAAAATCCTAAGCCGTTACGTGAAGAATGGGAGGGAAATCTGAGAGGAAATCTTCATTTCCTCTCTTCATTTCCTCTCTCAGATTTTCAAATTTGGAATAAAAGCTGAACTGACGTTGAGAGGGGAGGTATTTGGGAAGTAATTAAGGGGTGATGAGGTGGCAATTAGAGAGAGAGACAATGGGGGTGAGGTGGCCGGCCATAAGGAGAGAGAAAGGGGCTTGGTAATGAATAAAATGGGGCCCACAAATTAAAGCAGATTTAATCATAGAAAATTACAAAAATGCCCCTTGGGCCACAACACTCAAATAAATTAACCTAGGGGTAAAATAGGAAATAACATAAAATAGAAACTAAAATGCAGAAAATAATTCATAAATGACAACTTAAATCAGAGCCGTCGATTTACGACACCTCCTGTGATAGATGCGTCAGATTTTCGTGCCGATGTCCGCATCATCTATTTTAATGGATCTAACGAACTCTATTGAACTTGATTGGTAGAAAAATGATATATCCAAGTTCATGGGCATTGATTACTTTGAGAATTATTTCCAGTTGCTCAACTCAATTCAATGTCTTCTTCTTCTGTTGCTGTTAATCAAGGCTGAACTTTGCACCAAATGAATTTTAACAATAGTTTTCTCTCTGAGGACTTCTCTGAATTTATCTATATCGAGCAACCTCCAGGGAATGCTATGTAGGGGGAGAATAAACTAAGCTAACTTTGGAGAGTGATATATGAGTTAGAACTAAGTCCTCGTACTTGGTTCGATAAGGTTTGTGATGCAGAAGTGCAGAACTACTTAGATGAGATGATTATTGAGTCATTTAGATATTGCACAACTCTTAGATTAGAATAATTTTAGAATAAAATTTCTAGCAATTCTAAACGAAGAAACAAAAAAGTAAGGAGATATTTTGCTTAGGCTAAATCACATGCTCCGAGTTTTGAAACTTTCAAGATAAATGATAAAATAAAACAACACAAAATAGTAGTCTTCAAATTAATCCCTGATCTAACAACGAGAATTAGGATGCATTGAAAGTGCGCTCAATTTCTACGATTACTAAGCTTTAAACAAGAGCAGTGGAAGAGCCCGTCGTGACTGCAATTAAACCAACGAGAATTCAGATTAAAAGAAATAAGATGCAAGGGAAAGAGAAACCTTCGCTAGGGAGGTGGAGATCCTCCACTCAATGCCTTCGAAGTGTTCGTCAATGGCTTCCATCAAAGCAGATAAGATGCGCTCCACGTAATCTTCAACATTGTGGTCAATCTTCGGATTGACGTCTAAGAAGGTGGATCGTAGGATGTCGGTGAAGCCGTCTTCATCCCAAGTGATACCGTATTCAGTATCCGGATCCGCCATTCATAGATTCTTGAGTGTAAGATCTTCTTTGTACTTGGAAGGTCACTTGATTAGGGAGAAGAGAAGAAGTTTCTCTTGCACCTTGAAGAGAGAACAAACTCTAAAACTTTCCTCAAAGAAATATGAAAATAATTTCAAATTTTGATCCCAAAATCTGAGAGAAATTTCAGATTCTATGAATGGGATTAAGGAAGTAGAGGGAGAGGATCAAAGCCCCAAGTCACTTGGAGATATTAAAGGAGGGATGAGAGGATTGGAGAGAGGGAGATGACTAGGGAGGGGGCGGCGGGATGCTGAGGAGGGGAATTTGAAATGCCAAAATAATTTCCCTAGATTTAGGAAATCAATTGGCTGGATATGGCAAAGGAGAATTTCGGGTAGGAGGGATTTGAGGGAATTTGAATTATTTCCCTAAAACTTTGATGGAAGATTTGGGAAATAAAAGAAATTAAAATCTCATGGGGAGAGAGGGGGCTGGCGGCATCCAAGGGGAGGGGGGAGGGGATTTTGAATGGTTTAGAAAGCTTTCTAATTTAAATTCATAAGATTGGAAAGTTTTAATTTAATCCTTTCTTAATTAAAATATAATTAGGCATGAATTCAAAAATTTTCTAAAATAGAATTAGTGAATTAGGAAAGTTTTGAATTCCAAATTAATTAAATTTGAATTTCAATTTCTTCCCAAATTTGACCAATCATAAATTAGGAAACTTCAAAGGGGGCATGGAGTGGAGGTGGCCGGCGGTTTTGTGGGGGGAAGAGACTCGGGTAGAGGGGAGGCCGTAGGGTTTGGGGAAAGAGGAGGGTCAGGTGAGGTGGTCGGTGGCTTGAGGTGGAGGATGGGGACGTTCGACGAGGGGAAGATGAAAGAGAACGAAGAAAACCACGAACCCGACCATCTCCAAGGTTGGTGGGTGATCCGATTTCCCTCTCCTTGGGATCTCTCCAATGTTCTCTCCAAGAACTTTCACTCTCTCAC